GGCCAAGCAGCATCATAGGAGCAGAGAGGCTCTCTGCTCCTATGATGCTGCTTGGCCTGCTGTGTTCATCCAGCCCTGCACCTTGTTGTCTCCAAACATCTAACTTCCTTTATAAAAACCGAAAGAACTGCAAATGCTGTGAATTAGGAACAAAAAAACAGAAGATGCTAGAAAAGCTCAGCAGGTCTGGCAGCATCTGCGAAGAGAAATCAAAGTTAACCTTTCAGGTCCAGTGGCCCTTCCTTTCTTTTGTCCCTCTTATTTGTTTATCTTCAGGTTTATTGGTAGCCACCAAAGGTTCACTAAGTTAGTGGAATTGGAATGTCGATGGATCAAAAACAGAAGTTGCTGGAAAAGCTCAGCAGGTCTGGCAGCATCTGTGAAGAAAAAAAAAAAATCAGAGTTAACATTTCAGGTCCAGTGACCCTTCCTCAGAACTGGTCACCGGACCTGAAATGTTAACTCTGATTTTTTCTTCACAGATGCTGCCAGACTTGCTGAACTTTTCCAGCAACTTTGTTTTTGTTCCGGATTTACAGCATCCACAGTTCTTTCAGTTTTTATTGAATGTCTATGTATATTGTTCATATGGACTTCCAGAAGGCATTTGATAAAGTTCCATATACAAGACTGTTAAATAAAGTAGAAGCCCACGGGATTGATAGCAAATTACTTGTTTGGCTGGGAAATTGTTTGAGTAGCAAGTGACAGAAAGTAGGGATAATGGGCAAGTGGTCAAATTGGCAGAATGTGACCAGTGTTGTCCCACAAGGATCTGTGTTAGGGTCTCAATTATTCACGTTATTTATTGATGATTTGGATAACCTGTAGAAAGTCATATATCCAAATTTGCTGATGGCACAAAGTTAGGTAGTATTGTTGATGGTATAGATGATAACAAAGTAAAAGAGGGATATTGATGGACTCAGTGAATGGGCAAACAGTGGCAGATGGAGTTCAACATAAGCAAGTCTGAAATTATCCATTTTGGACCAAGAAAGGATTGATCAGGGTACGTTGTTGATGGTATGAAGTTAAATTCTGTGGATGTCCAAGGAGACTTGGGGTTTCAGGTACATAGATCTTAAAAATGTCACAGACAGGTGCAGAAAACAATTAAGAAAATTAATAGAATTCTGGCCTTTACATCTAGAGACTGGAGTACATGGATACCAAAGTTATGCTGCAGGGTTATACAAAACCCTAGTTAGACCCCCTTTGGAATATTGAGCAGATCTCAGCATCAAACACATTAGAATGGATATATTGGCCTTGGAGGAAGTACAACATAGGTTTACAAGAATGATACCTGAACTTAACCTCTTATGAAGAAAGATTACATAAATTAGCCCTGTATTCTATAGAATTTAGAAGGTTACAGCATGATCTGGTCAAAGTCTTCAAGATACTAACATGAAAAGATGGGGTAGATAAAGAAACTATTTCCACTGGTTGGGGATTCTAGAACTACAGGGTATAGTCTGAGAATGGCCAAACCATTCAGAAGAGATGTTAGGCAGCACTTCTACACAAAGATGTTTGAAGCTTGGAACTCTCCTCCACAAATGGTAGTGGATGCAAGATAAGTTGTTCATTTTAAATCTGAGATAGATACATTTTTGTTAGGCAAATATATTTAAGGGATATGGGCCAAAGGCAAATATATGAAATTAGTCCAGCCTTGATCTCGTTGAATGGTGGAACAGGCTCAAGGGGCTGAATGGTTTACTCGTGTTCCTATGTTCCTACATGAGGAGTTCTGCTCCTAATTCTTATATTGCCTTCATCTAATTGTCTAATCTATATAAGCTGTGGCCCTACTTGCACTTTTACTTCTTTAGGAACTGTTACCAGTCTTGCTGTTAATGTATTTATGACACCTAAATTACCTGCACTTGGTCCGATCATTGACAAAAGGGGCTGAACTCATTGGTGAGGCGAGACTGTCTGACCTTGACATCAAGACAACAGTTGACTAAGGATACCATCATGGAACCCTAGCAAAACTGAAATCAATGAGAATCAGGAGAAAAGTTCTCCACTGGTTGGAGTCATACCAAGCACAAAGAAAGATGAATGTTAGAAGTTATGTCAACTCCAGAGAATCATTGCAGGAGTTCCTCAGGGTAGCGTCCTAGGTGCAACCATCTTCAGTTGTCTTATCAATGACTTTCCCTCCAACACAAGGTCAGAAGTGGAGATGTTAGATGATTCTTGCACAGTATTCAGTACCACTCAACTTCTCAAAACAGTGATGTGGTCCAACTCTAGATGTACCAAGACCTGAACAATATTCAGGCTTGGACTGTTAAATGGCAGATATTATACAAGTAATAGACAATGATTATGTCTAAATAGATAATCTGAATCATCTTCTATTGACATTCAACAACACCATTGTTGAGTCCACCACCATCAATGCCCAGGGGATAACCATTGACCAGACACTTTACTGGACTGGCCAATGTATGAAGGTGGATAAATCTCCTGGTCCTGATCAGTTATATCCAAGATATAACTGCATGAGGCTAGAGAAGAAA